TTGGGGCCCAAATCCATCCCTGGTACCCCAAAATGTCCCTTTGGGGCCCAAATCACATCCTTTTGACTCCAAAATCTCTCTCTTTTTATTGGTGTAGCCAGGTTTCGCATGGGCAGAAAAGGCCAATGCAGCCCCATTCCAGAGGTGTGGAATGGGACGGGGGCTGGAAAAATAGGAAAATCCCCATCTGAAAGGTCCAAAGTTGGAGAATTCCCTAAAATCCCACCCAAAAATGGTTTAAGTTGGAGAATTCCCTAAAATTCTACCCAAAAATTGTTCAAAGTTGGAGAATTCCCTAAAATCGCACCCAAAATGGTTCAAATCTGGATAATTCCCTAAGATCCTAACCAAAATCGGTTCAAAGTTGGAGAATTCCCTAAAATCCCACCCAAAAATGGTTTAAGTTGGAGAATTCCCTAAAATTCTACCCAAAAATTGTTCAAAGTTGGAGAATTCCCTAAAATCGCACCCAAAATGGTTCAAATCTGGATAATTCCCTAAGATCCTAACCAAAATCGGTTCAAAGTTGGAGAATTCCCTAAAATCCCACCCAAAAATGGCTGAAAGCTGGAGAATTCCTTAAAATCCCACCCAAAAATGGTTCAAGGTTGGAGAATTCCTTAAAATCCCACCGAAAAATGGTTCAAAGTTGGAGAATTCCCTAAAATTCTACCCAAAAATGGTTCAAAGGTGGAAAATTCCCTAAAATCCCACCCAAAAATGGTTCAAAGTTAGAGAATTCTCTAAAATCCCACCCAAAAATGGTTCGAAGTTGGAGAATTCCCTAAAGTCCCACCACGAAATGGTTCAAAGTTGGAGAATTCCTTAAAATCCCACCCAGAGATGGTTGAAAGCTGGAGAATTCCCTAAAATCCCACCCAAAACCAGTTCCAACCACGTCAATTCCTTAAGGCATTTTGGGCTCGCTGCTCTCCAGCTTCTTCCGGAGCATCTCCAGGAGGGAATCGGAGTAGGAGCGGAGCAGGAGCAGGACCTGGGGGTCCCGGAGGCTGTTATCCTGGATCACATCCCGGGATCGCAGCTCCGTCCTCATCCAGCCGTAGAGATCAGCCAGCGCGGTCCTTGCGTGGAGCACGTCCTCCTCGGAGGCTTCCGAGAGGGTCACCTGCACAATGGGGGTCCCTTTGTCACCCCACTTCAGCCCCCCCCTCTTGGTGCCTCCATCCTGGACCCCCAGATCCAGCATCCTTTGGTTGTCCAAGGGAGGAGAAGCAAAGACCCCCCCAACCCATCGTCCCCGCTTTGGGGGCACCCACCTTGTCGTAGAGGAGCAGCAGCTCCTGGCATTGGGTGCGGAGCAGCGCGAGGGCTGTGGTGAAAGCTTCCACGTGGAGCTGGGATCCTACGGGATCACGGGGTCCCCATCAATGGAATGGGGATCAAAGCACCTTCTCCCACCCAAACCGGGGTCAAAGAAGCGCCTTGTTGGCCTCCAACACCCACCCATGGGGTTGGTGGTGGTGGAGAACGTTCCCTGTCCCGGTTCCTCTCCCGATTCCTTTCCCGTTTCCCAACGTTTTCCATCTGGAGGCACCTGGAGAGATGATGGGAACGTTCCTGAAGCCCCGAGGAACCAAACCTGCCCTTTTTGGGGCTGTTTCTCCCCACGTGGAGGTAGAAAGTCACCTCTGGTGGTGGGAGCTCCTGCGGTGGCTTCGGCTGCTCCTGGGGCTTTGCCCATCGTGGGAAGGCAGAGGCCAACCTATGGGATGGGAGAAGGTTGGGAGCAGGGATCCCCTTTTCCCACCGGATGGACACAGGTCCTGGTGCTCACCTCTGGTTCTTCTGGCAGCGGGAGAGGAACCGGGTTGAGATGCTCAAGCGAGGGTTCAGGAACAACCTTTTCTCCTCCTCCTCAGGTTCAGGAGGTTTCAGATCCTTTAAGGAGCCACCAAATCCCTCTGGAGCTGCAGGTTGGGAAGCGTTGGCTCAGCTGTGGTTGGGATCCATAGAGATCCATAGGGATCCACCATCTCCTGTTACCTTCAGCGTTTGCCAGTGTCTCAAAGTGTTCCTTGAGGAACTTCTCCTGCTCTGGGGTCTGGGGGTGCTCCTCTGGCTCCTCCGTGTCTCCATCAGGACATTCCAGGTCCTCACCTGCTGGGACAGCACCAGAAAGACCCATTTGCACCATCTGGAGCCCCCAAAAGACCTAAATCCACCCCAAAGTGATGCTCCCAGTGTTACCTTCGGGCACCAGCATTCCCAAGGTGAGGAGATGGGATGAAGCATCCTCCTGGTTGATCCCAAGCTCCGTGTGTGTCCTTAGGGACCAGGCAGTGGGTCAGTGGCCACGGTGGTGGCACCAAGCCATTGATCCCAATGGGGGACACACGTGGGCTGAGGTTCCTCCAAGCCCAATGTGCCTTTGGGATGGGAAGAGGATTGGGAAGCAGAGGAGCTCGGGAAGAGCTGGGCCATGGGATGGTGACACGAAGGCCTGGCCAAGCAGGAGGACATTGGCTCAACACCCAACCGTGGGCTTCGCTTTGGCTTTGCCACCAACCTGGTCCCAGTTGTATCCAGTGATCCCAGTTCCTTGGGGGTCTCCTCATCCAGGAAGAGCTCGGAGAGCTGGAAGTTCTCAGTGAGGTCACTAGAAGAGCTTTCGACCTGTGGGACATGGGATGCCTGTAGCTGGAGTCATCCCGACCTGGGTTGGGATGATCCCAACACAGCTCCAGGATGGGTGGAGGGATGGGATGAGGAGAAACAGCTCCCAGCTGGAAGAGGGAAGAGGTGGGTGGGATCTTGGGAGAAAGCTCTTTGCTATGAGGGTGGTGGGACATTGGGATTGGTTGAATGGAGAAGGTTTGGATGCTCCATCCCTGGCAGTGTTGGAGCAACCTGCCCTGTGGAAGGTGTCCCCATTGGAACTGGATGATCCCAAGGTCCTTCCCAACCCATTCCATGACTCCATGGGGAAGGTGACTGACCTCTGAAAGCAGACTGCAGGGTTCCAACCAGGTCTTGATGTGCACCAGCCCTTGCTCTGCCCATCGCCCCTGTGGCCTGTAGCATTCCCAAGGGCTTGGAGCTGCTCCATCATCTACTTCTCCCAGCTGGAAAACCAGGAAAGAAGAGCTGGAATCCAAAGGGATGGAGCAAAAGGAACTGAAGGGAAACCTCTCCAGGTGAAGCTTTGGGACCCACCAGCTTCTTTGCCCACGTTGGCAGCTTCCC